TATAAACTTACTTTCCCTGGGTGGATGAACAAAATCTTTATAAAGGGAATCTGGTGAGAAAGGTTGTAGAAAAGCAGATGTGAGTGTCTCTGAGAACTAGAAGCAGACACAGTTCTTTGGCTATAGACAGCTGCTTTTAAACAGGTAAAGGTTCAGGATTGCTGTCAAGCCCTGTGTCATTTCAATGGTTTATGCTGAGCTGGGAAAATATTTGATAGCATCAGAAATCACTTATCTTGTGAAATCCAGAAAGCATGAGGAATTTCTAGATGCTTCTTGAAATTCTTCCACTCAACTCATGAATGTATCTGAATTTCACTTTAATAAACACTGCAAGATCAGTTGTGCCTCCAAATTCCAGTGGCTCAGAGCTTGGATGCCAAGCCTTCACCCGCAGCTCTCCCTTTCCATGATATCTGGACTATGAAGAAAGCAAAAAAAAATTTTTTAATCTCCCCAAATTCCACTAAAAATAGCATTCATGTTTAATTGTTCAAATTATCCCACCAGAACCTAATTGATATTTACTGTTCATCTTTTAAGAAACTCCACACCTATTTACCTGCAGGAAATAGGTGCAGGAAATGTACCTTTATTTTTGTATAAAAGATATTTATACTGACTAAGCAACTTCAGCACACAATTCTCTCTGTATTAATATTAGAAGTGCACTTGTCTTCAGTTACTGAATATTCCAGTCTTTAACAGGCCACATAATTACCTTCAATATTACATTTCAGAACCACTTAAAAGCTATCGTTCAGAAGCTATTACACATATTTTATATACATATTACCACACATAAAAAAACTTTCCAGATCACCAAGTGAACACCTTCCAGACTATCTACAAGGCATAAGCTTATGCTGTTTATTGTTTAAAAATAATTACATTTCTTCTGTGAAAGGCTGCAGTGGTTTTCATTCTGTAGGCGCAATTTTTTGGTTTAATATTTTCTTAATGCGTTATTATTAAAACAGTCTCAGAAAATTGTATAATGTGTTATATCATGTAACATTGTGTGCTACATAATTTCTTGAAGTTTTCTGGCTGAAAACTCAAGCAAAGAGGTTTCACCTATTACAGTGTAACATTATACTTCATATATTCTATAACATTATACTTCACCTATTAACTATAGCAGGTTTCATCTATTATACTATGGCATAAATATACTATGCCACTATATTTATGGCATATAATATATGCCACAAATATGTATTTTAAATCAAAGTTTACTCTTCCTGTTTCATGAGCATGTTTTTAGGCAAGGCCATTTGCTTAGCACTCTTTTCCACCTACCACTTTTTGCCTCAAATACTTGGACTGTAGCTTTTAAGGACAAAGTCTGGCTTTTGCTTGTACCATGATCTGGTCAGGCTTTTCTTGGCCTTCAGCATTTAGCAGTTTTCATCACTTCAAATTTGACATCTGCTCCAGAGCCTATGAAATATATTATTGTATCAGAAATTACTGTCATTTGTCAAGGTTGCATTGTATTTTGTGTGTGTTGGTTTGGTTTCTATTTGACTTTCCTTGCATTCTGGATTAAAAATTTTTATACCTAGGTGCTGGTAGAAAATCAGTTTCTGTTTTGTCAGAGCTTTTCATGTGAAAGTTTAATAGCATGCATTGAAACTTTAAACACTCGTCTTAGACCCACTAGGGAAATTTTTATGAACGTTAAAGCCTTCACAGTAACAGCAAATGGTAATACTTTCAGTAAAATTTTATCAGGCTCTTGGGGATATGGTTTAAGGATGATTATGGTGGTAGATGGCAGGATTAGATGAACCTGAAGGTCTCTTTCAACCTTGGTGACTGTGATTTCCTTATGTCTCATCTGTCACTGCAGTGGCACACATATGACTTCCTTAAAAGACAGACTCTTAAATGTTTATTAAGCTGTACACTAAAATAATATTTTGAAGTCAATACATTTATTTCTACTTCCCACTAGAACAATTTCTTTAAAACATCTTTGTAACCGTAAGATACAATACAAGATCATGGTTTGTCTCTAGAAAATAATTTTGTATATCCTTTATTTTCAGACTCTCCTGTCCAGTAGTTATGTATTTAGCTGCTTTATTTTGTCTGAAGTTATATTTAGGGTAATTTTACTGCAGAGGTGAGGAAGGCAGTGCTGTACAGTGATCTGCCTGTTTTAGCTGCCTGCAGAGCTTGCTCATTCCCATCATAACCCTAATTCTGCATCCTGAAATCTATTTCTAGTCTTCCTGATCTTTTCCTCTCCTTACAGAACTGGTTTGGTAGTAATTCTGTCTTTATCAAGGATTCATAAAAGTGTCTGAACTGCCACAAATGAATGTGTTCTCTGAAAGCCCCTGGGTCCAGAGGGGTTTTGTGTTTCAAGTACCACCCATGAGCAGACCAGCCCCTGATTAAAGAGCTTCAGCTCTGGTATCTTTGCACATAAACCTGTGGGTTTACTTCAGGCAAAGAGCAAACTGCAGCTCATAAACTGAAACACTGATGTGAAACTGCCAGCAACACCTACGAGAATGCTCCTCACAGAGGTATAACTTAATAATTTAAACCTCTAATTTCAGTGTTTCAGTTTGAAATATTGCCTTATAAAGAAAATCCAGAAAGTGTTTCTGTTCCAAGTAAATTCAGGTGTAGAAATTAAGTATCTCTTGCTCTCTTTTTAACAAAAATGCCACATATAGTCAATCTCCTGCACTGTTGATCACCTTGCTGGTTAATATCTCACATTGTTGAGGATTATTTTCAGAAAGGCCCTGCATTTAAGAATCACTCTATTTGGTTTGTCCAATTAGTTCTGGCAACTCAGTTTATTGTACATATCATGAATCTAATTTTTCTGGTCATTACAATAACCTATTTTTCCTTATACAGAGAAATTTAAGTGCAATGGGAATGATTATTTATACAATGTCAAAAAAAATCCACATTTAGAAATTAAACTAACAGAAACAGGGTTTATCAGTTGAAGCATTTTGCTTTACAGGTTAGTGAAGGAAATAACTGCTCCTTCTACTGACATGAATATTTTCAGGACCTTGCTAGGATACCATTTTGCTTTTTTTGTATCTATATTTATATAAACTTTTGTAGGTTCTTTTATATTTAGAGGATATATAAAATCACCTTTTATGTTCTTCTGTACACAGCTCTATTTTGTATTTTACCAGCAAAATCAGCAGCTTCAGCTGGGCTTTTTCCTTAGAGGCCACAGAAGGGGCACAGTTAACTTGTTTGCACTGGGGTGCTGGCAGGAGGTTGTAAACTGAAAGGCTGTAGTACAGGAATTAGTGCATGTGAGAAGGGTTTCCTGCTCTGCATTTCTCATCTCCAGAAAGCCCCACAATGTATACAGCATACCATGTTTTCTCTTTGAATCACAGTTTAATTGTGCCATACCAGAAAATGCTGTTCTGAGTTCCAATTCAGTCATAAACCAATACATTTAGAATGCTTTGTTTTAAAGAAGAAATAGCATGAAAGCACATCCCAAGCACACACTGTCCATCTGTTCTCTGCTGCACATCCAAGTAATTCCACTCTCCTCTGAGGTACTGGTTATTCCTTCTCCACTGGTGCCAAAAAAACAAGTTCAAAATACAGATGAATGCTGAGCAGCAGGAAAAGTGGTTCCAGTAAATTAAAGAAAAGTGCTGACAGCCATTCCCCTGCTTGGTGTCCCTGGCTTTAAGTACTACAGCACAGACTGGGCAAGTAATGAGCAGCTCCCAAGCCCAGGTCATTAGTTAGCAGCTTTTGTTGATTCCAACTCAAGTCAGGTATGTGCTTCTGAGGGCAGTGGTCGTTGCTAAATTAACACTGAGCATGGTCTAAATGGATAAATCTGTCTAGCAAAGTGCCCCTCTTGGCTTCCTTCAATTCAGGTTCACTATTAAGCTTTGCTCAGATAGTATAACTTACTTTACTCCATGTGAACTTGAATTGATGACCAAAAGGAACTGACTTGTATAAATTAGTTGCTGCACATGCAGTAAGCTCTCCACAGGCAGGGCCTCAGAGAAATTCTTTCCCTATTAGGAAATTCATTCCCCATCCACCACCCCCTGCTGATGCCTCAGTCCTCTCCTCTCCATTTCTTCTTCAGCTCTTGCACATTTGCAATTACTTTTTACCACCAACTCGTAAAATTGTGAATCCTCCCAGGCACTTGCCACCCACTGACCTCTGATGTGCTGGGAGAGGGACACACACGGGGCTTTCCTTGCTGAGAGAGGCCTGGGGCTGCCCCTGGGGGATCTGCAAGGAGGGACCAGCCCAGCCTGGCTGAGCTAGCAGCCTGTCCTCGCTGCTGGGGAAAGGGCTGTGCTCCTTCTCCCTGCCAGTGCTCCAGGCCAGCTTGGCCTGGGCTTGGAGCAACCTGGGCCACTGGAAGGTGTCCCTGCCATGGCAGGGAGCAGAACCAGGTTGCATCTATGGTGCCTTCCAACATAAACCATATTTCAGCTCAATTTGGAGTTTTGGGGGACTGGCTCCTGTGCAGGGTTGACCCTGTGCAGGGCAGTGACCCAGAGGAGCCCGAAGGAGCTGTGCCCTCCTTGTGGCCTTTTTGGAGGACACTCAAAGGGGGACACGTTTACTTGGCCAGAGCATGTCCTCACTGCTGGGGAAAGGGCTCCTGCTGCCTGCCAGTGCTCCAGGCCAGCTTGGCCAGGGCTTGGAGCAACCTGGGCCACTGGAAGGTGTCCCTGCCATGGCAGGGAGCAGAACCAGGTTGCATCTGTGGTGCCTTCCAACATAAACCATAGTTCAGCTCAATTTGGAGTTTTGGGGGACTGGCTCCTGTGCAGGGCAGTGACCCATAGGAGCCCGAAGGAGCTGTGCCCTCCCTGAGACCTTTTTGGAGGACACTGAAGGGGACACACTGCCCCAGAGCTGAGCACTCTCTGCCTCATGTCATTGCACCCCTTCTGAAAACACACCCCTCTGAGGGTGAAATAACCCTCCTCCCCTTTTTTCTCTCGCTTTTTTAGGGTTGAAGCAGCTCTCCAGTGACTGTCACACACTTCAGCTGGCCCAGAGGTGTCCTGACGTGTGAGGAGAGATGAGCAGGAGGAATGGGGGAAGAACAAACCCAGGGATCTGGTATTTAATCTCAGCTCTGTTACTGACAAGCAGACAGTGCCAAAAGAGTGTTTTAGAGGCTCTTAAAAAAACTCAGATCATAATGTGACTGTCTATGGCACCACCATAGATAGTCTACACTTTTTTGTGTTTGCTTTAGATTTCCCTTCCAGAAGTTGATGTCAGAAACCAATTGCAATGCCTTTTTAGATCTCTCAGAAAGTGTTCAGTTTAAAAAGTACAGGAGTATGTTTGAGGAATTCTTTATCACCATTACTCATACACTTACTCACTGTTAGTAATTCCACCTTGAACTCCTGAAAAAAATTCTGAAACACTGTCCCTAAAGAAAGTAAAATAAACAAAATCCAAGCTTTTGATTCTTCCTCAGAAGAATTAAAACCGTTTGAGCTCTTAGACTCTACTTTCAAATAACCCTAATGAAACTAATATCTAGCTGTTATATTTTAAAATTTAGTATGTATTGTATGTGAGATATTTCCATTTATGTATTTTATACTTCCTAATCCTTATTAATTTGGAGTTGTCTTTTTAGAAGCCTCAGCCATGACTGATGAACTCAGCATAAAGCCACTGACTGAAGGGAAAAGAGACTCAGACAAAGAATCTATGTTAAATGTATGTTAATATTTTTGGTCATGCTTCTTAATGTGCTGAGATTTTCTACATGGGGAACATTATTTATTAATGACCCAGAGTTTTTTAATCACCAAAATTTTAGAATTTCTGAATGATAAGCAGTGAGCTTATAACTAAAGCCAGAAATTGTGCTATGTACACTTCTCTTTGAAATTTTTCATAAGGAAAAAATTCCTTAAGAAGAGTGTAGTACACACTGGAAATTTCAAATTATTCTTCATTTCAAATAGTTAATAGTCTTAATTGTGTCTAGATTTTGATTGTTTTTTAATTAAATGTTAAATGCAGGGAAAATGTCTCCTTGTCTTCTAAAGTAGACAAGGAGATATTGATTATAAACTAATTAAAAATGGTTTGGGGCATGTTTTAGCAGGTTCATTAACACAGTGTTAATAGTGACCAGGTGAGTTGGTCACGTTAATGTCACTGCAGCTCCATCTTGTGGCTGAATGATTATTCTCGGTTAATTTTTGATTCTGTAAGAAAAGCTTGGTCAAAAACAAACATGAAAAATGATGAGGAGAGGAATTCATAAGCATGATTAATTTCACTCCAGTTGTTTCTATAAGAAAAACGTGACAGGAAAAAAAACCCTAGCCTTGAGTGTTTAGTGCTCACCTTCCAGAGCTGTAATTTGCTATGTCTAAGTGGATACTGGGGGAAGTTTTTGTGAAATATTGTTTAAGAAAATGAAACAAAAAATGTCATGAGTGTTATGATTATCTGTATCAATGAGTTCATAATCATATATACCTTGCCAGTCATGTTTTGTTCCTATTTCATACAGGTGATCAAAAATTCTGATGGGCAGTTTAACCTTGAGGCTGCAATTAGAAATGTTGACACAATGTCCAACGAGTTGAAGAAAATAAATGGTAATTCTGACTTGACAATCCAGTTAAACACAAAACTGTGTGAGACACTCTTCTAAGAGTCTACAGTTGGAATGACCTGGTTTTCTGTGTCAGACAACTGGGTTTTAATGTAATGAAGCAATAGCTTTGCTCTTGTGTTTTGAAAAATTAATGGAGCAGCAGTTAGAGAGCAATAGAATCGTGTTAGTTAAGCATGGCAAACACCTGCTAGGTGATCAGTCATTCCTTTCTAGGAACACTGAGAGCCTTCTAATGCAAATATTGCTAACATGCTGACACCAACTGAACGTAACCATCCTGAGGCAAGTGAAACAGGCAACTGAGTGAATTGATAGATGAACACTAAAACAGTGCTGTCTGTAGATTAGCACTCACTGTCATTCAATAAATACCATGCTGATACACTGCCCTTTGAATTTCAGTGGAAAGCCAGCTACTGCTTTGTGACCTGATTTTGAATTTCAACCATCCAATGAAGGCCAAAGATTTAAGAGAAGCTGAAGAAAAGACTTGGAGTTTGACTGATTAAGTAGCATCCATTTTCATGTATTGTCTTCTCTTAATACTGTGAAGTTGCTTCTTCTTTCTTCTTCCTTCTTCCTTCTTCCTTCTTTCTTCTTTCTTTAATTCTTTCTTCTCTCTTTTAATTAAGTTTGAACTGTACAATGATCGCATGGTTTCTTGAAGGTAGACTATTTTTGTTTTAAGCTAAACATGTGGAATGGAAAAAAAACTAGGTTATTCATTCTAAGAGTGGTTTTTTCAACTCACATTTCCCAAATTAAGCCCACTAGGGCTGGAAAGACTGATGTGATTAATTTAAAAGGTCAGGAAACTGGGCATGAAGTTTCTCATGTGGTTTTCTCCTTTTAAACAAAAATGTGTTGGAACAATAGCAAATATTTGAAATTTACTTCAAGTCACTGTCTGTTGTCTCATTTGTGCCTGGGGAAACAGGATAAGAAACTGCCAGTGAAGGAGGAACTGCAGTTTGTGTTTTGAGCTGCCTTCCTTGTCTTTAAAATGTTGCTGAGGAAGTGGTCAAAGAACAGATTACTTCTGGAAAACCAAAAATGCTTTCCATTCCAGTTTCTGTAGTGACTCTCTAATGTAACCAGCTACAAGAATAGGAGCAGTTTGTGGTTTCAGTGCTCTGTCCTGAAATCTTCTTGGCCCAACATTTTCACAGCTAATTTCATGTAGTTCATTACAATTCATATTCAATCATACTTTACTTGTGGACATGTTTGAATGTTGAGATGTAGCTTTATTCTTACACCAAATATATTTCTCTGAATAATCAAATAGAGATTTATTCTACTTTTTAAAAAAATATGCAGTGTTAGAATTTGTCATGCTGGTTTATGTTTGATTTCTCTTTCGCTGGTGAGATGGTTCAAAATTAATAAAACACAATTCCATAGAAGGTGTTTCTGGGTTGTCAGATTTTTCAAGGCAAGGCAATGGAATAGAATTACATTCACAAGAGTCAGTAGTGATATGGGGGATGTTGTTCTTAAATTTAACAGTTTTTGAAAAAGACAGATTAGAACTGACTTTTCTTTTATCAGATTAATAGTCTAATTTTAAAAATATTAGGTTAGAAGCAGCTTTTGTCAGCTAAAGAATTTTTTAATTTTATTTTCCACCTTTATTTTTGGGCTCATAATTGCCTGGAAATGAACTTTGCTAACTTTGAATTCCAGCTCTTGCCTAAACATCTTAGAAAGGACAACTTACAAAACATATCTCTAAGGAAAACTGTCTATGAAATCTGATTATGTTATCTGGGAAGCTTTACAGATTCTATGAAGGTATTTTCCACCTTGAATTTTGGTTCCAGTGTTTTAACAGATATAGACACCATGGCTTTAAAGAAGAATAAATGTGACAACATTCATAATTATCAAACCAAGGTGTTGTCAGCCCACAAGGGACATTGAAACCCAAGGCAAATGGTTGGATAAATCCCACTTAACAAAGGGGCTTCAGTGTTCCTCAGCTACAACTTCTATTTTTGAATTGTGAGTGTTCCCTTTTTTCTTTAAAATATGCAGTAAAACAGAAAGCAGTTGTGCAAGAGGAACTAAGTTTGGCCTGACTGTGCTTTCTAAGAGATCTGGGGGATTCTGCCACGTAAGGGTCACATGGTGATAATTTGTTGATGTGTAAAAATGCAGTCCCTTGATTCAGCCAGAAAGACACAGCTGAAGAGAGATGTGTGTGGAGAAAATCTTCTTTCTGAGTGAGGTTAGGGAATTGTAGGAAATCCAAAATTCCAGTTGAGGGCTGAGGCATGGGATCCCCAGTGCTGTGGAAGGATGTGCTCTGTGGCTGTGGTGTTTTCCTGGAAATGTGGGAACAAGCAGTTCACAGCTCAATAACCCAGACACAGATCCTGACAGGAATCTGCATTTCCAGGGCTGGAGGGTTTTTGGTGCCACTGAAACCTGTGTTTCTTTCAGATCTGAGTTATCTCTTCATAGAAATGAGGAGAGTTAGATTTACTGAGGAAAAAATTGTGTTTTGTCTACTCCATAGCTTTGACAATGTTTGGGTCTACTCCGTATCACTCCAAATAATAAAATTGCTGCTGCAATTCTGATCCAAAAAAAGATCTCCTATGAAAGTAGAGGCTTGTATGGATATTTATTTATGGTTCATCAAATTTGGTGTGGAAATAATTTCAAGAGGATATACATATCTTGGAAGATAAGAAATTCTCATGTGCTCTATGATTAATGGACACTTTGTAGGAAAATTATATTTGTAGAGTACTCTATTTAAGGCATAATTTAAAAATAACATAGTCCTTTTTCTTTGAAACTGTGAATTTTAATGACTTCATGATTTTAGTTTGCTGAAAAGGAAAATATCTTCAAGTATATAAACTTCAGGAGGCTTCAGTACTATATGTGATCTTCTCTAAAGTTTCATTTAAATATGTCCTGCAGCATATTTTAACATGCACTGGTTTCTTGAGCCTCTGTCTTTTCCATCAATCAGAAGAAGGGGTGTTCTTTGGAAGTGGTCGATGATATCTGCTACAGAAGAAAATTCCTGTGGGATGGAAAAAATGAGAAGACTAAGGCCAAAATGTCAGAATTATTAGTAACCAGTTGAAACAAAAGGTTTATTTAATATTCTAAACATTTATCAATATTATAAATATATATAAGGTCCAGCTCAACTGCTCTCATTCCTGTCACAATCTGTAGCTCAGTAACTCTGTGTACAAGCTGCTGCAATGTTTTATAATTAATTTACATACTCTTGGTCTGTTTAACACATGGTGTTGCCACTGTGCTTGATGTACTTGAGAGATGAGAGGTGTCTGATGAGTTTAGGGTTCTGTCCGGATCAGAGCTGCCAGGGATGTGCTGAGCAAACCCACAGTCCTGCAGGCTGGGGCTGAGCCACCAGCCTGGGAGCAAAGCTGGAGCTTGGCAGGTATGGATTAGCTCTCAGCTCTGCATTTCCCTTATCTGCTATCTCAGTGGGAAACAAACATTCCCTAACCAGGCACGTGGATTTCTAATGGCTGTGTCCTAAGGCCACCCCTTCATTCCCTGAGTGCAAACAGCATAAACTGATTCTGCTTCCAGCAATACCAATATTCTCTGAGACAAGAAGCACAATTCCAGCCAGGAGAACGGTCACCTGGCACTGAGGAATGAGGCAGGAGATGCCTTAAAAAGAGAAGCAGTGTGAAAAACACAGATTACCTCTTTTCCTTTCAAGCCAGTTCCTAACAAGTACAAGTGCTCCTGCTCCTGGTAGCGGATCTGGATGTTGTACACTTTGTCTCTGTACAGCACCATCAGGACATAGGGGTGAGTCACTGTTTTCCTTGAGCTGTCTCTCACCAAAAATGTTCCATCCTGAAACAGGAAAAAATGAAAGATGACAAAGAGCAGACACTCCTGAGTTTGATCAGTGTAACACCTCTCACTAGAGCACTTGTGCTTCTAAGTGTTTTTCTTTCTGAAATCTTTTTCTTTTCTGATAAGAGACACTGCACCATTAAAGCATTTAGATCTTTTGACAAATGTATTGTCTTTCAGTTTGCTGCTTCTAACTTTCCTCTGTTACAAAAGCAGGTTCTAAAGGAAGGTAGGAATGGTGTTGTATGAGGGAGAGATTCCTTTAAAGAAGGAAGTGAAATATCAAAGACCAAACCTCACATCACTTTAACCAGAAGAGAAGTTCATTTCCGCTAAGTGCCAATCACATTTCCTACATGATGGATTTATAGACAGCTTAAAATAATGACGCTGTGTAATTTAGGTAAAGGCAGTGATGCTGTACCACTCTCTCTGCTTTTCCTCATTTCAGATTTAATTTGACAATTCTTCCATTGAAATCTCTTTCTTAAAGGCACTGAATGGGACCTCATAAATTGGACTTTGGTACAAGTCACTGGGATGGTACACATGCCATCTTCAGCTCATGGCAAGTGCTGTGAGGCAGCAGAGGGTAACCACAACTCCCACAGCAATAATTCTATTTATCTTTATTATATTAAATATTAGATATTATTTTTATATTTATATGTTTTATATATAATATTATATATTTAATATATGTAATATATTATTCTCTAGTGTTTATTTATTTATTATTTTAATAACACATTATTATCCTAAATATATAATTAAACAATTATTTTTAAATTATTTCTTTTTAAATTAAATTAATTTATTTAAACTATAATAAATATTTATTTTATTTTAAATGTATTCATTTCTATTTTATATATTTAATATTAAATATTAAATTTTCTATATTTAATTTATTTCCACATGTACAGATGAGCCTTGTTTGAAGCTGTAGTTCATTTTGTTGAGCTCTGTGGCCCCGACAGGGGTGGGGTTGCAGTACCTTGTTTATCCTGCGCAGCGCTGCCTCTGCCTCGGGCCGGCTGACAAAAGCCACGTACCACTCATCCTTCAGAGAGCCCTGGGGCTGGACAGGACAAGGACAAGGACAAGGACAAGGACAAGGACAAGGACAAGGACAAGGACAAGGTCAGCTGCCAGGGAATGGCAACATGCAAATAAGTACAGAGAAATTGCAGTGTGAGGGATGTGTGGGTCTGTGTGCAGAATCTCTCTGTGCAGATCATGCTGCTCTTTATTGTGGTATGGAAAGTGCTGCTAAGTTGTTTTAAATTACCTGCACACTTTGGTAAACTTGAAAATATTACAGTGATAGACATTATGCCCCTGCAATGTAGCTAAGGTAAACTAAGAAAACAGGTATTTCCGAATACTTTCAGTAAAAGATTTCTTTTATGTTCTTTTTATGTTCTCTTTTGTCTACCTGGACACTAGGCACAAAGGCATCCTTTGCCTTCATCTGTTTTTTAGCTATCATCTGAGACAACTCTGCAGACTTCCTGTAAATGCACTCTTTATGATTGCCCACCAGTGTTACCACCATGAGTGGTTTGCTCTAAACTTGTTTTATTTAAGGAAATGTGAAGCAAAAATGCACTTAAAAGAGTGAGTCCTTTACTCATCAAAGTTTTATGGAAGGAGAACTGAAAGTTTGATACTACTTGAAGGCAGTTGTGCAAAACAAGTAGTCCAGAAAACAAGTATTTTTCTTATTTTGCTCTTTTGGGGTTCAACTATTGTTGTTTTTCTTGATGAGGACAAAAGAAGGCACTACAGTTTGACACAGAAAAGGAAACTGAAAGCACTCAGCTGTGTCCTGACAGTGACTGGAAAAACAACTTTGAAAGGTGTTGTCTTTCAAAGCCAGAAAACTTGGTGTCTTTACAGTTGTGGTTCATGTTTTGTACCTCGTCTTGCTCTGTGTTTGCCTGGTGAACAGTCTGCCTGCTGGGAATTGGCAACGGAGGTCTCATGTCAGCTGGGCCTCTGGAAGGAGATCTGCTGCCTTCAGAGGTACAAAAGTAGAAAAACAATGTTAAAACCAGGAAAATCATTTCATCTGTGCACCCAGGGTGTAGGATCTTGATTTCATGGAGCATAAAGTATTTGTATCACCTTGGTGTAAATAAAAATCATGTGAATAGTGCAAATTACCAAACACCCAGTGCAAACAACTAAATAACTATTTAGTGCAATACAACACCCTGGTACTGAGATATCTAGAAATTATTTGAAATCAGATTTAGGCTTCTCTATGAGAACCAGGTTCTTTACGTAATTCCATCCTTCGTGCAGAGGGAATTTAACTGAGCTCTTGTGGTTCAGATTTCCATAAAAACAAATGAACTTGAAATTGGGGTGACATTTTATCAGTTTCTGTACCACAGTTAGTCACTTGAGAGCATCTTGGTTTCTTTAGAGACAGAAGTAACATTGTCTCTTTGCAATCCTTGCCTT